CTTTCGAAACTCAAAAAAAAAAATTTTGTGTGATGCGTTCATTTTGCGAAAAAGAGGCGTTAACAGACGAAAAAAACATTACTGGATGTTCATTTCGCGGAAAAAACGTCACCGGACGTTCATTTCGTGAAAAAAACTTCACCAGACATTCAATTCACGAAAAAAATGTCACCGGACGTTCAATTTGCGAAAAAAATGTCACCGGACGTTCATTTAGCAAAAAAACGTCACTAGACGTTTAATTCGCGAAAAAAACATCACTGGACGTTCAATTCGCGAAAAAAATGTTACCGGACGTTCGTTTCGCAGAAAAAATGTCACCGGATGTTCGTTTCATGAAAAAAATGTCACCGGACGTTCATTTCGCGAAAAATACGTCTTCAGACGTTCATTTCGCAGAAAAACGTCTTTGGAGGATGGAGGGATGTATGTTACGAATAAGTCGTCATCTTCATTTCGCAAAAAAACGTCAATTATTTATTAATTAACTTGATTTTGGCTGAAATCAATAAATTTTACTTTTAATTAGTAAGCCGGCATTTGGTCAAAATTAAAAAATTGCAAAAAAGTCCAGGCCGAAATTTATCCGTATAACAAAATTAAAGTTACCCTCGTTTCTACTGCAAAATCGCAGATCCTGCCTTTTTTAGATTGTATCTATTTTTAGATGCTGATCATTTTAGTGTAACATTACCTTGCATGAATTTAAATCTACAATATCTTAATTTTTTATTATGCAAATCAATTTCCATTTATAATTAAAAAATGTAGCCCATACCAAAATCTATTCAAATTTGGCTAAAACTCAATTTTCATTTTCAGGGTAGTTTCTGGTGTTTTTACTGCAAAAGCCCCATATGGTGGTACCCAGATCATATGATGATATTTAGATCATATAGTGGTACCCAAATTATATAATGATAATATAATCTAGGGTAAGTGGGATACCACTATATAATATAAATTATATTATATGGTGGTATCCTACTGTATTTTAGTTTTTAATATTTAACTTATAAAGTAAAAAAATTTTTTTTGATGATTTTTTTTCTTTCTATTATAAAATACCTATATTAATTTAAAAAACTAATAATTTAACTTGCTATCTGGATGTTTAGATATCTGTTCTCTATAACAAATCAAATAATAATTAAAAAATAAAATCATTAATTTTATTTTTAAACTTAAATTTAAACTGATTATTGGCAAGCAACTCAAATATTTATTTAATTAAATCCTTATTTTAAGATTGAAATACTGTTCTCAATTAATTATTTTTTCACAAAAAAATATTTTGCTTTATTTTCTAAAATTAGAATATTCATCAAACATAAATTTAAATTTTGTAAAGTATATCTAACAGTATGCTCAATAATAAGCTAACTTGTAATTTTAACAATTTTTTATCTAATATATTATAATCAAAATTCTAACATTTTGCTTTAATTATTAATAGTGATTCTTCAAAATCCTATTGGTTATTAATAATAAAAATTTATTTAAAATAGCTTTAATATTATTATTAATTATATAATAATCCTATTATCTATTGACTTGCTTAATTTTAAAACTTGAAATATAATAATTATTTATATAATACAGTAGTGAGCAAAAGAAACGCAACCACTATTAGTTACCTTTAAAAGCTTATAACAGGTTAACTATGGGGGCTAAAATCATA